AGGACGAGAGGGACGAGCAAAAGGCGGCAAGGAAAACGGCAAACAGAGACCCACGCAGACTCCAAGGCGGCCCCAAGGGCGCCCCAGACGGCCCAGAATGGTCATCGACAAGAGGCCCAAAAACGTCACCCAACAGGTCCCCGCGCGGCCTCTGTCGCCTTCCCACCAATCCAGGACGGCGGTGGGATGGGCCCAAACAAATTCTGGTCGCTGTCGTAAACCCCCGCGGTTTTTCTCACCCTCCTCGTCGTGGGCTTCCCAGCTCCAGCTGTCTTTGCTTTGTCACTTCATACCTCTTCAATTTGCTCCACCGCATGAGGAGGAGGAGGAGGAGGAGGAGGACGAGAGGGACGAGCAAAAGGCGGCAAGGAAAACGGCAAACAGAGACCCACGCAGACTCCAAGGCGGCCCCAAGGGCGCCCCAGACGGCCCAGAATGGTCATCGACAAGAGGCCCAAAAACGTCACCCAACAGGTCCCCGCGCGGCCTCTGTCGCCTTCCCACCAATCCAGGACGGCGGTGGGATGGGCCCAAACAAATTCTGGTCGCTGTCGTAAACCCCCGCGGTTTTTCTCACCCTCCTCGTCGTGGGCTTCCCAGCTCCAGCTGTCTTTGCTTTGTCACTTCATACCTCTTCAATTTGCTCCACCGCATCACCCCCCATCCAAAGGTTTTTTCAAATGATTCCACTGGGCCGTCGCTCCGGCTTTCCAGCTCCAGTAGGGGTGTAGTGGGACCCTCCACCATGGCCCCAACACGGCCTGCACCATCACGTTTCTGGAGTGCTTTCCGGGAACACTTGTCGCCACCAGTCCAGCGAGGAGGAGAGAGGAGGAGGAGGAGGAGGAGGAGGAGGAGGAGGAGGAGGAGGAGGAGGAGGAGGAGGAGGAGGAGGAGGAGGAGGAGGAGGACGAGAGGGACGAGCAAAAGGCGGCAAGGAAAACGGCAAACAGAGACCCACGCAGACTCCAAGGCGGCCCCAAGGGCGCCCCAGACGGCCCAGAATGGTCATCGACAAGAGGCCCAAAAACGTCACCCAACAGGTCCCCGCGCGGCCTCTGTCGCCTTCCCACCAATCCAGGACGGCGGTGGGATGGGCCCAAACAAATTCTGGTCGCTGTCGTAAACCCCCGCGGTTTTTCTCACCCTCCTCGTCGTGGGCTTCCCAGCTCCAGCTGTCTTTGCTTTGTCACTTCATACCTCTTCAATTTGCTCCACCGCATCACCCCCCATCCAAAGGTTTTTTCAAATGATTCCACTGGGCCGTCGCTCCGGCTTTCCAGCTCCAGTAGGGGTGTAGTGGGACCCTCCACCATGGCCCCAACACGGCCTGCACCATCACGTTTCTGGAGTGCTTTCCGGGAACACTTGTCGCCACCAGTCCAGCGAGGAGACGGACAAAGAGGAGAAACGTCCGCGCCATCCCACCGAGCCTCCCAATGATGAGTAGCGTTGCCAGGGGGATCGTTCACACCGGAACTGACGTGGGTCCGCGGCCCCGCTGCAAATGGGGTCGCCGTAAACGGTGCACGCCCTTCCGATGCGTCCCACATTCCTCGCCGTGGCTTTCCAGCTCCCAGCGCTCGTGCTTCGTTGCCAGGCGTTTTTTCCCATCTCCCTGCCAAGTTTATAACCGCCGTGTCAAGATTTGTAAATGTTCCCACCGGGCTGTCCTTCGGCCTTTGCAGCCTCATGTGGGTGACCCTGGAAACGCGGCCAGCCCGTCGAGGAGACCGAAGAAAAGGAGGAGGAGGGGGAGGAGGAGGAGGAGGGGGAGGAGGAAACGGAGGAAGAGGAGGAAACATAATAATAATAATAATAGTCGTAACAATAAGAAGAATATTACACCAGAGAAAAAACCCAATCAGTGGATTGGTTTTCGCTGAGGAGATCGACCGGGGAGCCGGGGGCCCGGGAACCCATAACCGACCGAAATCGGCTCGGAACCAATGACCGGGAACCCGGGAACCTGGAACCGGGAACCCGGGAACCCGGCTTGCTTCCAGAATCGGCGGGAAGTTTTTGCAAAATCTGTCATCTTCCGCTGGGGCCCCTTCAGTGCAAGCGCTGATTGGGAAAAACAAGAGTAATAAGGAGAAGAAGTGGAAGAGTAATAGTAATGATAATGGTAATGAGAAGAACACGGATAATAATATGATTCTGTATTCATATCAATAATCTTAATATTCATGGTCGGAATCATAAGCATAAGACGAATACAACGGATAGTAAGACTTGAAAGAGTAATACTACGAATGCGGAGGATCATATTCATAATACTAGTAATAAGACCAATCATATTGTTAAGAACATATGGATACGAATGCAATCATTAAAATTATTAATACGCAGCATACTTATCAAATCGTACAGCTACTATTAACCATCGTATCACTAATCATAACCATGTGATAACACAACAAAGAAGACTAACACTGTGCATGATAATATTAACACGGGTAATACCTAAACACACTAGCATGGGTCATATGAATAAAATTAGTAACGTTATGGCGAAACTAATAATCAGTTTAACAAGAATACATTACGACTAATAATATCAAAAAGAATAACACCGTAGTAATCATGGAAATAATGCTATGAAGACGAAACGTATTTCGACGAATCATATGGATAAGCCTATTATTATTATTATTATTAATAATATCATTAAGAAACACAAGACGACAACACATACTAATAACAAGAGGAGGAGGAAGAGGACGAGGACGAGGAGGAGGAGGACGAGGACGAGGACGAGGACGAGGAGGACGAGGAGGACGAGGAGGACGAGGAAGACAAAAAACAACAAAGAGGCAAATCGTGAGGTAAATCATGGAAATAAGTCAGACGACGACAGTGGGGACGCAGGTCCACGCGGGCACCAAGGCGGCCCCCAAGGCGCTTCTGACGGCCCACAACGGTCAAACACACATTTAGAAACGGCCCCCAAGAGGCCTTTGTGCGGCTTCCGTCACCATTCCGCCGGACATCCTATAGGTTTTCGGCTCACGATCCAGGAGCGGCGGCGAGACGGGCCGAAATCCATTCACGTTTGTGTCGTAAGCCCCCCACGCTCTTTCTCACCCTCCTCCGTTTGGCCTTCTCAGTTCCAGGCGTCTTTGCCTGGTTACCTCGCACCTCTTCCATGTCATTTCCAAGCTCCACTTCCCCACCTCCCTTCCCAAAGGTTGTCGAATTATTCTGTTGGGCCGTCGTGCAGGTTCTGCGCGTCGTTTGGGGCGATTGACGGCGACACCGAAACCTTGCCGGGAGCGTAATTGTTGCCGCCAGTCGAAGAGCAAGAGGGGTGCGAGGAGGGGAGGAGGAACGCGGAAATAGAACACGCTGGTGATGATAACGAGGACGAGGGGGAGGAGGAGGAGGAGGAGGATGAGGATGAGGAGGAGGAGGAAAAGGAGGAGGAGGAATATTATCAAAATGCAGAAAACAGGAAGGACAATGAATCCCGCTTTGCCCATCCGTTGATCCATCTTTCTCTCCATTTCCCGTCCGCCCTCTTTTTGCCTCTCCTGCCTGTCTGTTTATGTTCTTCCCTACCTGCCTCCCTCCCTTCCCTACCCTTGTCTTTCTCCCGACCGCAATCACGACGACGACGCCGGCGAAAGGATTGCGCCTGCCTGCCATGAGAGAGGATATCGACATAGTTCATGAGGGGGAGGTTGAGGATGAACTCTTCAGATTACACTAGAATTCAGCGCGCGCGCGTAGCGCGCGCGGGGCTCTAGTGAGTGTGTATGTATGTACGTTTATTTGTATATGTCTAGGTATATGTATTTGTATATGTATATGTATATATACATATGTATATGTATATGTATATGTATATGTATGTGTCTGTGTCTGTGCATGTGCATTTGCATGTGTATACGTATATGTATATGTATATGTATGTGTCTGTGTATGTGCACGTGTATATGTATATGCATACGTATATGTATATGTATATGTATATGTATATGTATATGCATATGTATATGTATATGTATGTGTATGTGTATGTGTATGGGTTTGTGTATACGTATATGTATATGTATATGTATATGTATATGTGTGTATTGGTATTTGTATTCGTTTGTATATATGTATACATGTTTATATGTATCTGTTTAGGTATATGCATATGTTTATGTATATGTATATGCATATGTACATGTATGTGTACATGCATATGTATATGTATATGTACATGCATATGTATAGGCATATGCATATGTATGTGTATATGCCTTCTCCTGGGATGCCGTGGCGACGAGAGCCCCCCCCCCCGAGGCCCAGACAGGGCGAGCGGCATCCGAAACCTCGAACCTTGATCCTCGAACCTCGATCCTCGATCCTCGAACCGCGAATCTCGATCCTCGAACCTCGATCTTCGAGCCTCGATCCTCGATTCTCGAACCTCGGTCCTCGATCCTCGATCCCCGAAGCCTGATCCTCGATCCTCGATCCCCGAACCCCGATTCTCGACCCTCGATCCTCGAACATGGGTCCGCGGACCTCGAACTTCGGAGAGGCCAGGGAGGCCAGCCGCCCGCCGCGAGAGCGCGAGGAGCGCTGGTTGTGGCAGGCTCGTCCGCGGTCGGCGAGGCCCCGCGCCGCCCCCGGGCCCTCCGCTCCCTGGGGCGCCCTCATGGCTTCTCCTCGCATCTTCTCCTCGCTCTCCCGAACTCCTCGCCCCCTCCTCGCCCCCTCCTCGCCCCCCTCCTCGCCCCCCTCCTCGCCCCCCTCCTCGCCCCCCTCATCGCCCTTCTTGCCCCTCCCTCCTCGCCCCCCTTCCTCCTCGCCCCCGCCCTCGCCCCCCTCCTCGCCCCCATGCCCTCCCTCGCCACCCATCCTGGCCCCCCTTCTCGCCCTCCTCGCTCTCTTGCTCGCCCTCTTCCTCGCTCTCCTCCTCGCCCCCTTCCTCGCCCCCCTCTTTCTCGCCCTCTTCGCATCTCTCCGGCCCCGTGGAATAGCCTACGATCCTTCAGAAGCGTGTCATCTCTGATTCGCAGGGCCCGTTCCTGTTCTGGATCAGCAGGGTCGGGAGAATTCCTGGAAGGTCAGAGCTTTCGAGATGAGCACCGCGCAGTCTGTATGATTCGCAGACTAGTGAGGCCTGAGGAGTCCCGTCGAATGCCCGAGGAGCGACCTTCATACTTTTCAGCGCGCTCCCCTATGATCGCCACAGCACGACGCGGAAGAACACTTTCCATCAATTCATTCGGGAAGCCGAGGATCACGAGACGAGATGGGCGGCTGAGATCACCTCCTCGACCCTCCTGCTTTGGACGCTCGGCTCCAACCGACGACCCCCCTGAGCTCGGACCCATCCACGTGACAAATTCATCGAAAGAGGCAGAACCTGAAGTGCCCGAACTTCCTGCTGCAACTGTACGCGACTGAGCAGTGACCGCTCCCCCTGGTATTGTAGTGGCCTCCAGCCAGTGCCGTCGATCCGGGGCGCTCCGACTGATGTGATCCTCCGTCGCCCTCGTCCCTCCTCTCTTTTTCCCTCCCTCCCATTCTCACTCTGCATTTATCGAAGACGCCTACGGCGAATCACCGCCGCCCCCTGCCTTTTTGGAAGCGCCTATGTGGCCGAACGTTGAGGCCAGACCTGCAAAGCTATCGGAAAATGTGCTCACCGAATCGGTTTGGAAATCCTTCGGGGAACGCGTGGGCATCTTGAAGGTCATGTTGGCCGTCTGGAGGCCATTTTGACCCTTTCGGGCCTTCTTGGAGGACGTCTTGGAGGGCTCTTGGGCCGTCTTGGAGGTCATCTTGAGCGTCTTGGAGACCTCTTGGGCCGTCTTGGGGGCCTCTTGGGGCCGTGTCTTGGGCCTCTTGGGCGATCTTTGGGGGCACTTGGGCCGTCTCGGGCCGTCGGAAGGCAGAAACAAAGCAAATGCCACAATCCTTCAAGAACTATAGGAAATCAATGATTTTGGCCTTTTCGGGCCTTCCTGGAGGCCCTCTTGGAGGCCTCTTGGGCCGTCTTGGGCCATCTTAGGGCCATGTTCGGCCGTCTTGGTGGGCTCCTGGTCCGTCTGACGCCGTCGGAAGCCGTTTTGGGGGCCTCTATGGGCCGACTTGGGGCTCTCTTGTAATGCTCCAGGGCCGTCTTGGAGGCCGTCTTGGGTGGACAGCTGCGAGAAGCCCTTGAGCTTAGACCTCAGAGATATCTGGATGCGTCTCTGCCGCTTCGGTATCAAGCACAATCGTGCCGATAAGACGCCAAGCGGCTCATATATGCAGGCATGTACTTCGTGCCCTAAGATCCCGGCTAATCTATGGAAATGCACGTGTACATCAGCCACATAGCACCATGTTGGTTGGTACGGACACGACACATAATGCGCTGATTGGCGAAACGAAGCTGTGGCATTCCCGATCGCACAAGTATATTGGATCAGCTGAGCAAGCACATGCCCACAATAAAGGACAATACGCATGTATCTTTAAGCGTGTTCATACGCTCATCGATGAATGTGAAGAACTTTATGCGATAGAACACTGGCGGGCCAAACCGATACGACGTAGTCCGTCGTGTTATCTTAGACTTTGACATCAAAAAGGTGTTCCAATCTATCTTCGTAAAAAAGAAAACCGACCTGGTGCCGTTGCCAGCAGGCGCATGCAACGCACGTGCGCGATTGCGCTGGGAAGCCGCGGCCCAGGCCATGCTCGGCCACGGGCGAACGACAAGCCCAAACATGTGAGTCGCGTTCATCATGGATTATTGGTCTCTTCCTCTCTCGATTGGGCTTGGCGGAGGCCTCCCAGACATTTTGCCAATCCCTGCTTTCGATGCGGACGCGCCACAAACGCAGGCAGCATTGCCAACGATGCCCGGCTGAAACAAGGAAGCAGCAAACTGATAAGGAAGCTGGCATCAAACCAAAGACGCTGCCAAATCAGGTCGAAGACGGTAGTGGCGACTGTGGACTAGGATGTGCCATTCTATGCTCCGGTGTTCCAATTGGAGAACCTAATTCAGAAGACGACTCCGAGATCATTCTAACGCTGTCTGTTGGCGTGGCGGACGTGCGCGCCGAGATATTCATTATACTACGTGCCCCGTGTCGCGGGCGGGGCAACTGCGTGGGCGCGTTGGAACTCCGCGGAGACATTGGCGGCATGTTCCAAATTATTTTCAAGAGACGACAGGCGTCCGTTTTTCTCGACAGTTTCGCTTGCGTTGACTTCGGGTGCCCGCGGGCGCAGCAAGCTGCGGGGCATTGTCGGTATGCCTGATTTGTCGCGACTGCGATGCTGCAACCTAAGTGCAGATCCACAGGGTCGCCCTCCTACGCGCAAATGGGCCGCGACACTTGGCGTAGACACCGCGGGCGCGGCATTTCCCGCATTGCATTCTGCGGTGAGGTCGCCGTCGTGCAGGACGACCTGCAACGCCTATTCCTGAGGGAACAGCCGTTTGGCGCGTGGGTCGATGCGATTACACCATGGTCGACAAGCCAAACGCAAGGTCACTTTCGCGCAGATCATCTACCAATGCTCGGCAGGGCTACGGCGCCCCCGCGGCGCGCCCATCATGGAACCACTTGAAATCATGGCTTACCACGGGGCAGTTCTCAAACCCGTTGAATGTAATATATGTTCTGGCCATCCCGAACATGCCCAAACATGCGGCGGAGAACTAGCACAGGCTGCCCGATATACGCCGAAGATGCGATGATCGTTGACGCGGGCAAGATTGCACGAGATCCTTGTGCGCGAGGTGAACGCCCATTCGCAGATCGAACACAAGCAAGCACCATCGTGGTAAGCAGTGTTGGTTACGATCTTGGCGATCCTATTTTTCCTCGAGAAGCCCATGAGTCAATCTGCCGACCGCCGTCGAGCGGGCTGGGTTGTCCAGCGCGCGCCGATAACGTGCGAATGAACGCGCCGCGGCGCATCCGCAACCCGCGACAATGTCGGTGGTTTGATAAGGAACCCTGCTATTGGGAATGTTCAAGCTGCAAAAAGGATGGGTAAAAACAAGCGGGGCCATTTGCCAGCGGCCAGCAAATGTGGTTTCGCCAAGCCCTTGCACTTGCCAGATACCTTCGGACAAGCCCCACCGGCTGCGCCGGCACCGGCGGGCTGCGTGCCAGCGCCAGCGGCCGCTGCGCCAGCGGCGGCGCCAGCGCCGGTAGACCAATTGTTCGACGTTGCACCAGCACTTGCAGTGGCTGCTCCAGAAGGGCCACCTGCGCGACAGAGGCCGTCGAGCTATGCGCGGCCGCGCGCGCCTCTACTTTTGCGTGGGAACCCTGGAGACCCGACTGTTGGTGCCATCGGCTACGATTTGACGCGAGGTGCGCGCGGCCGTGGCGGCAGCGGTGCTGGTGGCTCCTGCGCTGGCAGCAGTTCCGACCCACCGCGCGTCGTGGGGCGGCGTGGGCGTCAGCGGGGCGGCGCGGCGCTGCCTCTTCTTCCGCCTCAGGCTGAAGCGCGGCCGTGTTCGAGACCTACCCGACTGGGCCAGGTTTGGATATCCAGGAAAGTCTCCCACATTTGCGTAGCAACGATCCGACCTTCGTAGTGAGAGAGAACTACGCAAAATTCCGCCTACGGTGGCGTCGTGCCTCCGAAGCAAAGATGCGCACAAGTCTATTCGAGTAGGGCTAGATGATGCACGGCTGAACATGATAAAGTACGTAGCTGACTAATGCCAAGAGCGCAGAGCTTGGAATCCGAGAACAACAGTCATGCCATCAGTCGGCCTCCCAGTGGGGAAGTCGAATGCGATCTGACGTGTTATTGGCAATGCAAGTATTTCGTATGATCGACCGATGTATTCGTTGGGCAGCTGGCCAGCAGATAGCCGACCAGGCGATGCATGCTATATTAGAGGCCTACCACCAGTGCTGGATGCAACGCGGCCCAGCCACTTCGATGTACTTCGACGGAGAAGGCCGCTTAATCAGCGACGCCGCCACGGCTATCCTGAAGGCCGCTGGCGCGGAACTTCGCGTCCATGCCAGTGTCCAGCGCGCCGCCGCCATTGAGGCGCGCGACGGCGTCCTCCGGCGCGCCTTGCACGTCGTGGATGAGGAATTTCAGCTCTCCCCGAGGCTAGGATCCACGAATGGTGTTTTTGCATGCTCTTTGTGTTGCTTTTTCGTTTTTTCTTCTTTCGTTTTTGCGGCGCGCGCTGGACTCGCGCTCCGCACTCATTGCTCATTGCCGTTTTTGTTGGATTCGGGCGCCATGGTTTCGCCCCCTCCTTCTCGAGGGGGATGGCTGAATCGCGGGCGCGCGTGTGCCCATGGTTGCGCATCTCGCCAGAATGGTTCGCGGCCATGGCGATTGCGCGGGGCAGGGCCGGGTGCGTGCCCAGCGGCATGCGCGTTGCATGATAGCAGCGGGGTCGTCTTAAACGCGTGGTCATCATTTTGGCGTGGTTTGGAAGTGACCCGCCAGCGCCTTCCCGACATCGCAAAAAACTCACAGGTGGCCATTACTGTCAAACGCTCACAAATTGCCATACACCGCCCTGCAGGCATTCGGAGGCTTCCTCCCAGTGTCGCGCCCGGGAGGCTCACATAGTGAGTCGGGCGGGTGTTTCTCAGCCATGTCAGTCGCCCTCGGCATCCCTG